CTGGTGGTCCAGGAGCGCCGAGCCCCTGGCCGGCCCCGGCTGAGCGGGACCTTCTGCCCAGCAACTCGGGCCGGAGGAAAGGTCAGGCGGTCCACACGGCTGCTGACCAGGGCACCGTCGTCCGCAGCGGCGGGCAGGAGCTTTGCCTTAGAACGCCGAGGGGCCGCGGAGGGATTTCACCGGGAAACCGCCTTTCACGACTTCTGGGGGGCGGGGGTCCCTGGAGGAAGGGGGGCCGGGGGAGGGGGGCCGGGAAGGGCGGCGTGGTGGAGGCAGAGATGGTGCCGCAGGCCGGGGGCCCATGTGCCTGGCGAGACAGCGCGTGTGTCCAGCCACAGCCGCTGCACCTCCCGGGGCGCCCCGGCCCCAGCGCGCCTGGGCCCCGCCCCCAGTAGTCCTGCCAGAGGTACCTCCTGCACCCCAGGGCCTGGCGCCCTCCCAGCAGCTGGCCTCTGACCGCTGGGCGTGCATGGACCCGCCCTGGGGCCGGCCGGTCTCCAGCCGGGGCCTGAGCCACCGTCCTGCTGCCCCTGAGCGCCTGCGCTCCCCACCAGCGTGCCCCTGGATTGTGGGGGGCGGGGGCCCTTCTGCTTCCTGGAACCTTTGTCCTTCCCGGTCACTGGCCAGGGTGTCGCGGGGGAGCTGCGCACACCGGCTCCGGCTGTCCCCGGCAGGGACAGTGGCCGCCTCCCGTGGCCTGCTCCCAGCGGCCATCAAAGGCTCTTTGTTCCCAGCCCCCTGGACCCGCTGGCAGGCCCCGCCCCTCCCCCACGTCTTCCCATTGAGGAAATTAGCAAGTGAGGATGGAGCAGAGTGGAGAGGGGGCCCCAGCACCCCAGGGGCGGCCGCTGCAGTGGGGGGATGGCAGCGCCCGGAGGCCCCACCAGCCACCACTGTGTGGCCGGCCGGGAAATGTCCGCTCACTTGTGTATTTGTGCAGAGAAGCTGGGTGCAGGCCACAGTGCGGGAGAGGGTTCCCCAGACAGTGGGGAGCAGAACAGGCAGGTCCCGAGACCCCCTGCTGAGGGGGCAGCGGGGGTGGGGTTCTGCTCGCCTTGGGGTCCCTGCCCGGCCTGGGCAGACGCGGCCTGGACTGACCCCCAGGCCCCAGCGAGGCCCCAGGTGTTACTTCTTAGCTGTTTATTTTGAAATTTAACTTTCTTTGAAAAATCTGTGTGGTCTGTTTGCTTTTGCTTTT